GCCAAGTGGCCGCAAACGTCCAACTACCCGCAACTATTCGAGATGCCCACCAAAATATCAAGCACAAGGACTCCCTATGTCCAGTATCTAATTGTCGCCGACACGGTCTCCAGCTGAATTTGTGGGGTAAGCTTGAATGCTTGAATGGAATCTCCTTTAGAAATTGCTTAAACTTGAATCTCTTGCAGCTGGCCAGGATGTCAGCATAGATCACAGCCTTTAATATGCTTAAACTTTAAATATGTGTAGTATTCATTTATATTTAAATATTCTACTTAAATTATTCCTGTTTAGTGAGGAGGAACTTTGTACATGCTTGTATATACTTTTTATAATCAATCATTGCTGAACACATATTTAATAAACTATTTTACACGCCAATTAAGAAAAGACGGAGGAGAAAGATAACCCAATTAATTGCATGAGAAGATAATTCACTTTTATATAAAAAAAAGTTCACAACTACAAGGCTCAAAAACTCTCTCTGGGTTAGTTCTTAAGCCAAATTTTATCCATAGCCAGCTTTACATATAACTTATTCCAAGACTTAATTTAATTCATCATGACTTGCATTATTTGAGATGAACTGCGGCGCAGAGCGAGCAGCTTGCGAATTTTTTTTTTTTGGTTAAACTGCTGCCAAGTGCGTAAGAAGGCATCGATAGCAAGGACCAGACGCTTGCTGCTCGAGTGGCTGATGCGGTTGATGTGCATTGAAGCGCTGCAAGATTTGCGGTTTTTTGGCTGGCTGCGGTTGCATAAATTATAATGCAAGTGTTGCCAGCGAATGGCTGCTGGCGAGGCATGCGGCTCTCTACGCGTCCACAGCGTTGGCAGCCGCATGTCATTACGTGCCACATGAAGTGACAGCAACATTGTGAAGAAGCGTCGAGTGTGTGCATGTGTGTGTGTGAGTGTGAGTGTACAAACGTTGCAGGCAGCGACCTGCCTTGGCATTGAGGTGTTAATGCACCAGCAAAAAGAGCAGCAGCTTTCACCTGACACTGCCACCACTGCTGGCATATGGAAATAAGCGTGCAGCTCCTTTAATGCACCTCATGCGCGCACGCATCATCATATCCATATCCACAGCAGCGTCTTGGCATTTAAATTTCCGCACCCAGCCCGAGCCATCCATCCACCAGCCCCAGGCCGAGTGCATAATACTCGGCTGCTGTGCTCTTTCGCCGCCTGACTTAATGTTAATTATTCCGCTTCCATATCTTGTAAATATTTTGAGACGAAAATCGTGACATTGACACGTTGACGCTCATTAAAATATTTGATGCCAATTACTCGCTTAGTGGGCGTGGCAGCAAGCAAAAGGCCTACGAATTGCAACTTATCTTTGCACAGAGCAAACGCAAACTTAATTAATAAGACACGTTGAGCAAACACACACAGGATGCGCACTGAGATGTATCTCAAATGTAATCTGGCTCACACAAATTCCATTAGAAGCTTAGACCGAAAGGTTTATTTATTTATTGACTGTCGTCAGTCGGAACTTAGATATAGAAATATTAAGCTCTGAGCGATATAATTATGAAACTGACTAGGAAACGCTTTAAATTTTCAGCCCCAGGCTCTTCCAGTCCATAAAGTTATCCGTTCTTCTCCGAAATTAATTTTACGTATGTTATATACCCACAAAAGCAATTTTCAATGGGTATCAGGTGCAATTCGATTCTATGACTTGCGAGTGATCTATCTAGAATAGATTAGATTGAGAAATCCCAGCTGATGGATATTATTATAGATATCTTTCGATTTGAGCACTATATTTAGGAAATACTTTAAGTTTTAAGCCCTTGGCGCATATAGTCCATAAAGTTAGTCGTTCTGCTCGGAATGTGGGATATGTTACTTACATGCACACAACGGCAATATATCCTATTCTTCAAACAAACTCAATGGATACCATAGATGGATAGAATAGATGAGATTGGGAGATCCTAGCTGACGGAAATTATTATGAAACAATATAATCTAACTTACTAGAAAATACTTTAATTTGAAGACCCCTCATGTGAACAGTCCATAAGGTTTGTCGTTCTTCTCAGAAATATGTGTTACGAACAGAAGCACAGCTGCAATATACCCTGTTTTTTAAACAACCTTTTCAATGGGAACCTGGTACAATTAGATTTTATCACTCGCGAGTGATTTATCTAGAATAGTTAAACTACCGGATCCGTGCTGCTAGTGCAACTGCAATGTCTGTTCCTTTTACGACCACGGCCAATCTGAGCACACATCGCTGCGCTTCCTTTGTTGTTGTATTTGTTGTTGTTGTTGTTGTAGCTAGTGCCAAAAACTTTAATTGCCTTTCGGCCAAAAACTTTGTAAACTCTGCACAGTGCATTTTGTTAACATTTCCTGTGCGTTTTTAGGCGACGCTGCATTCCCTACGCAACTCCAAACCCATCACAGCCTGCTCCGCTCCGCCCTCCCCTGCCCGTTCTCCTCTTCCGCTGAGCCGCTGCTCGAACAGTTTTGCAGCTCGCAGTTGGCAAAGACTTGAACTCTGCTGTTGTCGTCCCCATGTTTTGTATGCCCTTTTAATTGCCCATTGAAAGTTGTTCACTTGTTAAAATGAACTTTTGCCTTTGGCACCAATCGCTGCTGCCCCCGCAACACAGCGAGCCCAGCCCCGCCCCATTTAGCTCAGTGACAAAGTTGCAAGTGAAGTGTAAGCAACAAGCAGCGTGAAAGTATGTGTTATGCAATTAAAAAGTGCCAGCCAAAGATGCTTTAATCGAATTGAGCAGCTATTGAATTTTCCCAAACATTATCCAAAAGTTTTTCCTTGAAGCAGGTGCCAAGTTTGCGGTTATATAGCGAATGCTTTTCAACAATTCAAATAAGAATCCAGGCGAGCAGGAGAGAGAAGAGGCTTGGGTGTGGCACATCTTGAGATAATCTTAAAGTTCTTAACATACATCTGCTCTAAACTTACAAATAAATCTAAACACTAAGCTCGTTAAAGTCATATACAGCTTGTTACTCCCCTTTTCATTTTTTACAGGGTATGCAACACGTGGTACAGCTGTAGTACATTCTTTTTTATCGCATCTTTAGCTGGTCGAGTTTTTTTTATACCCATTGAAAGTTGATAATACGGGTAGATTAGCTTCGTTCAAGTGTATGTAATGTCTCCTTACCCTATAAAGTATTCATATATTTGTATATAGATGTCATAAGACACGTCGATCTAATCATGTCTGTCTGCCTGTCAACCTGTTCGTTCGGCTCGTTTGAGTATTTTTGACCAAGATTTTCTGCCCAGCCTGTTGCATATTCACACGTGAGTTATAATTTATCCTTGGTTTAATATATAAATCTTGGCTTTTATTATATTTAAACAAAATACATCCAATACAGGGATTTAACTGAGCTGACAATGAGCAGCATTTCGTTATTTCTTTCATAAAGCTCACTTAAGAGTTGGTTGTTTGGGTTTTCTTTTATAGTTCGCGAACAATTGCTTATGACTTATAAGTTTTCCGAATTTTGGAGATCTGAGCTCTCAATTTATTTCCAAATTTGTTCCGTCTATTTTTGTGTTTGCCTATTCCAGTTGAGTTGAAATTTCAGCCCCAAAAACAATGGAAAATAATATGAGTCAAATAATGTATATACGGGTTTAAGGTATCTCCATTTCTTGATTTGATTATTTTTATGCCTTGAACCCATTGAAAATGAGCAAAAAAGGGGCAAATGTATGTAACAGGCAGAAGAGAGCATCTCCAAACCCATTAAGTATTTATATTCTAAATCAGCATCACAATCCGAGTCGATCTACCAATGCCCGTCTGTTTGCCTAACGTCCGTCCGTATTTATGAACGCAAGGATTTCAGAACCAATAAGAGCTAGAAACCTGAAAGTTTGAGGGTAGATCCTCCCATTGCCTTGTTTCCAACTAACCCATAAGAATCGATATCAAAATCCTATTTTTTATGAGCTAGTGTCAGTAAACTTGATATGTAGCTTCTAGAATAGTATATATGTATATGTATATCAAGTACATTTAATGTTATAGCTATCACCCCGTCGCCCAAATCAAGTAAATAAATCGATTTAGAAGTACCCACTATTTTAAACCACAAACTGAATGCTGCTTTCTATTTGGGAATTAACAAATATTCCATAGCATAATATGATCTAACGTTAAACACAAAAATTAAGAAAACCTGCGATTATATCTACATATACCCGCTGGCCGTACAAGAATTACAACTGCGATTGAATGCTGTGCTCTGTGTATGTGATGCTACTTTTGTTTGATATTTTATTTTACTAGGTATCAACTTTTGGCATGACTGCATTAGGTGACCGGATCGCGGTATAATGTATTTGTCGAAATGTGTGTAACATGCAGAAGAAAGCATGTCCGACCCCATGAATAATATATATGTATTCCTGCTCAGTATCAACAGTCAAGTAGGTATATCCATGTCTGTTCATCTGTTTCTATGCGAACTAGTCTATCACCGCTATCGTCAGGAAACTTTGCAGAAGTGTTTTTTTCTGAACATATGTCGGAACCAGCTGGATCTGACCACTTCATTATATAGCTGCCGTAGGAACGATCGGTCGAAAATTACGTTATTGCATGGAAAACTTTTTTACTTTTTAAGATATCAAACTCGCCATTTATAAGTTATACCACAATATTATATAGGTGTCATAGGAACGATTCTTGTATGAAAAACTTTCTCGAATATTAAGATATCTGAAACGAACTCGTCATTTATTAGATTTACTATGCTCCTAAAATATTTGAAAAATCCTATTAACATCGGACTACTATATCATATAGCGCAAAAATTAAGTTGGATGGAAAACTTAGGAAAATGTTGGGTCTGCAAGGGTATTAAATGTTCGGCGTGCCGAAGAGAACGCTTCTCCCTCGTTTATTTTTGAGATGCTTACCTACTGTTGATCGCTTATCGGTTTTCGAAATGTTGGAGGTCTGAACTTTCAACTGATTTCCATATTTTAGTCTATTTTCGTGTTTGCCGAGTCCAGTTGAGTGCGGAATTTCAGTTCCGTAATCTTAGAATGAAATTTGTTGTGCTTCTATATGTGCTTTATATCAGCCCAATAGGAATCAAAGGTGAAGCACACACTAATGAAAGTGAGGTAAAAACATAATAAACAAACAGCATCTATAAAATAAATAAATAATACTTTTGTTGGCATCAAGGCAACCTTAATAGCTGAGGAGCAATGCGGAAAGTACATCCATAAGGCTGTTAGACCTTTGCTAAACTATATCGATCAACTGAAGGTGGAAATTGAAGATAATAATAATAAAATTGATCACAAAGATAAAAAAATATCCAATATCGAGGGTGAAATCAACATTTGTGCCAGGAAATTAAAAACCTGCCAAGATCGGCCCATTCCGAATAGCTGCACTCACTTCGGAGATAATCCGGGTATTCACGAAATTAAACCAAATAATATAACGATCAATGTTCCTTGTGACAGCGGGACGGCAGGTCCTGGCTGGGTGGTTATCCAACAGCGTATCAATGGTCAGGAAGACTTTTATAGGAATTGGACCACATATCGCACAGGCTTTGGCAACTTTGGTGGTGACTTCTTCTTAGGTCTGGAAAATATTCATCACTTGACGAACGCTCAGCCGCATGAGCTTTACATACATATGGAAGACTTTGATGGCAATATCCAATATGTAAGATATGCAGAATTTGCCATTGCTGGCGAGGACGATCAATACAGACTGATCACCTTGGGTCGGGCTGAGGGCAATGCAACACATTATGCCTTGACTTATCACAAAAATCATAAATTCAGCACATACGATCGCGACAATGATGACAAGAGTTCTGGCAACTGCGCAAGTCGAACCCAATGTGCTGGTGGCTGGTGGTACAATGACTGTGCACACAGGTATGAATTACTGCAGCTTTGTTACAACAATTACAGTTTAACATAATTGTCTTTCTTTGTTTTTAGCAATTTAAATGGCATTTACTATGATCAGAAGGTGTACCGATATAATGCCATATTTTGGGAAAGCAACGCCTCTTTGAAAATGGTCAAAATTCTTTTACGCCCTAAAAACGATGTTGAATAATATAAAATAAAAACATAAAGTATATATGGGATTAGACTCTCTTCTGTCTCTGTCGGTCACTAATGATTTTTTTTGTATATTATGTTTCTCTGTCTGCTGTTGACTTGGCCACAATTTGAATGAAACAATAGAAAGCAGACAGCTAAATATATTATTTGTCTGATTTTCCAAATGCATTTTCATGTTTGAATTCTGTCTAGCATAGTGCCAGGTTCATTGTGTGTGCGCCGTAACGTGGCCTGAGGGTGTTTACATATGCAAAATATATCATGAACTAAAAACTATAAATAAAAAACATAGCTGAAACTTATGAGAGGATAGCTTTAAATCTGACAATTAGACAGTGAAGGGATAAACACGCGTCGAGTTGTTAACAAGGCAAAATAAATAACAAATGGAGGGAACTCAGTATAAACGTACTATTATTTTAACTACCACATGCATGTAGTTAAAAGCTAGCCATATAACATTTAGATACAACTAGTTGTTACTACTACAATACCAAGTCTATACATCAGCCTGGGGTTCGAGCCTTGTTCCTCGTTCTTCAATAATTCAATGGAATATTTCGCATAATGCACATTTTGTAAATGTTGCTTAAATTGATTACTAGCTGCTGTTAATTCAATACCTAATGCGTATATAAGCCCGAGGTATGAACTCGGTTCCTTTTTAAAATATCGATAGTTGCACGGGTTTTGTAAAAATTGACTGATATGCTCCACTTGAAATGCGCCCATAACAATGCCATAATAGTTAAGTGCTACCAACAATGGCCACAGCACGCTCTATTACGGCCGTAAACACACACACACACACACACACACACACTCGCACACTATAAATGCATATTTATGCACTATAAACATTAATTTACTTGCCATTTAGTTAGACGCACAGTTAATTGAAAACAACATCAAAATGAACGTCCCCCCCACACGCCCCTAGCACATGGTCATGGCTGGAAACCAAAAGCAAACAACTTTAAATTATGCAAGAAGTGGAAAATGCAACAGCAAAAATTGCAACGAGCGTTAAATGTGCGTTGCGTTGTGGGGCAGTGGTTGGCGGGGCCGGTGGGGCTAGTGGGGCGGATGGAGCGGACTTTGTGGTAAGCGCCCGTAATGCCAAATTTAATTGCAATTAATGTGCAGCTAACCGGAAGTGGCACAGCAGCATGCTAGGGCGCAAGCACTTCCGGCAACGGCTGGCGCCAAAGCTAAAAATAATTTTGATGCCACATGCAGCGGAGCCTGCACAAATGTATATAAGAAACCGTGCCACATGACACCTGCAACGGCAACAGCAGCAGCGGCAGCAGTTGCTGTAAACGGGTCGCCAGTTGTTATGATGGGTCTCCATTTCAGCCGGAATTCAATTACTCGTGCTCCATAAACCGATTAACTTATATAAATATTTATATCGGTGAAATGCACACGAGCTGGCTTTATGGCTGGGCGTGGTCAGGTTGGGCCAGCTGCCTTCCCGCGCTCAATCGTGGTCTGATGGTGTGCCTTTGCATATGCAAACACTTTTACGGCAAACCCATTCCCAGCCACAAGGCCATCCCCATCCCCATCCCCATCCCCATCCCCATTCCCATCCCCGACTGTGGCAATAATTCCATTCTGCATTTGCATTTGTTGGCGTTTATGGTCCACTTAAGTGTTGTCATTCGCATCCATGTATGGCCAAGGATTTAATGATAACACGCTAGGTGTCATTTACAGGCGACACGAGTGTGTGGCTGAATGTCTGTGTATCTGTGTGTCTGTCTAAGGCAATGTGGAGCCAACTGAGTGCAGGCAGGAAATAATGGGCTAGCGGGTAGAAGCCCGCACTTGCGACTATAACTGGCAGTTGCTTAGCAGCCGGAAGAGGCATGTGGGGGGTGGGGTGGGCTTGTACTTCTAATGTCTCATGTCTTTGGTCTGTGTTTTGTTCCGTTTATGTTTGAACTGTTATGTGGGCTGGCAGCGGCGACAAGAGGTGTAACCAAAATGGGTTTAGTCTCATGGTCAGAGCGGGACAGCTTGTGGCTAGACTAGGGTCTGATTTATTGGTCAGTGTTGATGCCACAAATGTCAACTGGTGCGGCCTGCAGTTGTGGCTATCTTAAGAGAGAGCTTGATAAGTTAACTAAATATATATATATATATAATGCCATATATATATATAATGGTTTGCCTGACTAACCAGCTGATTGCCTCATGATCAGGAGACAACCACAAAGACTAAGAAAAGAGAGTTTTTTTTTTTAAATTGGAACCTCTATATTAAAATAAGTATTTGCATTTCACTATTCAACGAAATTTAATGTTCAAACTTTAAACTTTTAATTTGAGCTTGTGATAATTTCAAACTGATTTCCACACAAGTCCAGCTCGTCCAGCCCATCCCCATGCACTCAACTTCACAGGCCCCAGTGTCGGTTGTGTTTCAGCTGCAGCTGTCGCAGTTGTCTCTCAAGGGCAGCTCGCCCCTCGAAGAGGCTCCTCTGCTGAAGCAAACGCCTGGCAAACGCATCCCGCTGCAGCTGTGTCAGCTGCTCGCGCAGCCACAGATGATTGGCCTGCAGCTGGCGCAGCTGGACAAGCACATCGACATCGTTCTGGCAGAGATCCACGACCGTTGAGTGCGCCTTCATTGGGCGTCGTTGGCAGCTGTCGAAGACATGAGAGGCTAAGCATTATTGAAGCGGATGCGGATGCGGCGCGGATGTGCGGTTAAAGCTGGCAAAAGTTTGCCCTAATCGCAGGGAAAAGTTTTTGTCTGCAAAAATTACGTATACGCAGTGAATGCCACCGCCTGTGTTTGCCTGCGTGTATTGTTTTTTGTTCGCCTTTTTTTTTTCTATCTGATTGACTTATAAGTTGAAAATTTGCCAGCATTTGGCCAGAGTTTTTAGTTGCTGCCTAATGTCTTGGCTGCTTTGCTGAGCAATGCTCACTGATGCGTTCCTGAAATTTGCCTGTTGCCCGCCCCACTTGCCCCACTTGCCCCACATCCTGAAGGTGTGGCACAGACAAAATTGCTTTTACGCTTCAGGCTTCAGCCAAGCATAAAAATGTCTGCTCGACGGGCCGCCCTATGCTGCTGCCAGCTTCTGTCAATGTTCGATTTCCAGCCCTCGATTGATTTCGCATTCAGTTTCTATGCAACCGGCCCACTGCACATATGCACACAATTCTTTGCTATTTTAGCCAGCGAGCAATTATGACTGGCATAAAATGATTGATTGTAATTGATTTACATCTGCAAAACAGCAGGGTTCTTTTTCTTCCTGTTTGGAAATGGTTAAAACCTTTGCCGATCCAAGCATTACGAGCTCAAAGGAATTGACCAAGAAATTGCACACTATCAGTAAAAGTGAGGGAGTAAACGAGCTAATATTCTTTTAAGCCACTTTGTGGCTCCAACGCAACAGCAAGAGCAAAAACTGTGATTCAGGCTCAGCGGCTTTGCTTTCAACAACTATACGCTAGCGTAAGCGACATGTTGCGGCCGTGGTGGGCTCAGCCAGCCATGCGTATACGTAATATTCTGATGCAGGCGCTTGTTAAATGCACTTCGAGCTCTTTGAGCCTGCTGTTGCTGCAAATGTTCAACTGTTTGACATGTTCTGCTTGGCGGGGTGAAGTTTTGGAGGCGGGACTAAGCTTGTTGCTTGGCATTCATAAGCTGTCGCATTAGCGGAATTTGTGTTGCCTGAAATTTAACGCTTGTTTTCTATTTGCAGCTTATGCTTTAAAATGTTTAAAATAAGATTTAAGCAGCTATTAGGCATAAATATATGTGCATTTTAATAGTAGTCTAGAGTGTTAAACATGAGCAACTTCTCGAAAAGTTTTCCAGAGAGGTTTTTGGCCTCAATCACAGAACTGCTCTAGTCGGGAGTGTAGTCGGATAAACGCTGTAGCAAACTCATTAAAAGTGTTGTATTCTTGAATAGCTTACGAGCTTTGAAAAATTATCAGGGCATACATATGGCAAGCAAATGTATGTAAATATAAAGGGGTATGGCGATAAGTTCTATAGTTTTCGGGATCGGACCTTCCTGATCAAGAATATATATATAGTTTATAAGATCTGCCATTTGCACAAAAATAGTATACCCTTTTTACTTATTATCAATGGGTATAAAAAGCCATTTTCAACGGTCATTAACTCGAAAACAATAATCACAACAGCAGCAGAGGCAGCAGCAGCAGGCAAATAACGAGCTGCCTGATGAGCGCAATCAGCGTGAACAAACTAATAAGGACGATGATTGCACATCAAGGATAATGCTTGCTGAACGAGAGAGAGAGAGAGAGAGAGAGAGAGAGAGAGAGAGAGAGAGAGAGACAGAGAACGATTTCAATGCACACACATTGATCATGTAGCTGTCAGAGCGTGTCTGTGTGCGGACAGGTAAAAGGCATTTATGACTTTAATATGCAAATGTGCAAGAATGCAGCTCACCTTTATGGCTCAAATCCCGTCAAAATATTTAATAAATGTATTCTGAATTGTTCGCTGACTTGCGATTATTTCAAAGTTTGATACAAACCCTTAAAGCAGCGCCAGCTGTGTGAACCCCTCCCACCTTTGGGGCTGCCCAATTGAAAATCTATGAAACTAAACTGAAAGCCTGCTTGCGCCTGTCTGTCTGTCCATCTGTCTGTCTGCTTGTCTGTCTGTGTGTCTGCCCGCCCGTCTGCATTGGCAACTTAATTATTTCAGCGGCACGTCGCCGTCGACTGGCGCTTAAGCCAAAACTCACGACAGCTGCAAGAAGGGTAAATAAAAAATAAAAAACAAACATGAAACAGCAGCAGAAAAGAGCAGCGCAGTGGTAAGTGGAATAAACAAAAGTTTGTTGCATGCAACGGCAGCAGCATTGAAAATCTGTGCTGAAAGATAAAGTTGCCAGGCAAACGGATTTAACTGCAAGGCGAGCGAGTGCAACGGGCCTCGTGGGGCGGGTCAGATGAGTTACTATAAGGACACAGCCGGAAGATGAAGTGTGCGTGTGTGTGTGT